CTATGGCAATGGTGAACATCTTTTCATGTGCTTGTTTTCTGTGTATCTTCTTTGGTGAAATATCTGTTCATATCATTTGTCTATGTTCTAATTAGTTTGTTTGCTTTTTTTACTGTTGAATTTTGAGAGTTCTTTACACATTCTAGCTACTGGTCCTTTGTCAAATATATGGTTTGCAAATATATTTTCCTAGTCTGTAACTTGCGCCTTTTCATCCACCTAACAGGGTCTTTTGAAGAACAAAAGTTTTTAATTTTGATGAGGTCCATTTTATCCACTTTTCCATGATCCACTTTCATGGATCATGATTTTGTTATCAAGTTTAGAAAGTCTTTGCCTGGACTGGATCCCAACGATTTTTTTTTTCTATCATAATTGTTTTTGTAAAAGTTTTATAGTTTTATATTTAAGTCCATGATAAATTTTGAGGTAATTTTTATATATAAGAGGTATGACTCATATCAAGACTGTTTTTGCTTATGGATATTCAATTGGTCTGGTGCCATTTGTTTAAAAGGTTACCTTCTCTCCATTTAATTTTGTGTTCACCTTTGTCAAAAATCAGTTGGGCATATTTATATGGATCTATTTCTGGTTTCTCTGTTCTGATCCCATGATCCATGTGTCTGCCTTCTGCTGATACCATAGTCTTTATTCCTATAGCTGTATAGTAAATTAGATGCTTAAAATTGGTTAGACTGACTATGCCCACTTTTTTTTTCTTTTATCTTTTTCTTTTTCTTTTTTTTTTTTTTTTTTGAGACAGGGTCTTACTCTGTCACCCAGGCTAGAGTGCAGTGGTGCAGTCTTGGCTTACTGCAACCTCTGCTTCCCGGGCTTAAGCAATTCTCCCACCTCAGCCTCCCAACTAGCAGGGACCACAGGCGGGTACCGTCATGCTCGGCTAATACTTTTTTATTTTTTGATAGAGACGGGGTTCTACCATGTTGGGCAGACTAGTCATGAACTCCTGACCTCAAGTGATCCACCCACCTCAGCCTCCTAAAGTGCTGAAATTACAGGCGTGAGCCACAGTGCCCAGCCTTGCTTTTTCTTTATACAAGTATTTTAGCTATTCTAACTATTCTAATTCCCTTGCCTTTCCATATCAATTTTAGAATAATCATATTTACATTTACTTTTTAAATGCTGTGATTTTGATAGGAGTTGCATTAAGACTGTTTATCAATTTAGGGAGAAATGACATATTTACTGCGTTGAGTAACCACTAGTCTACTTTCTGTATCTATGGATTTATTTGATTCTTCTGAACATTTCATGGAGATGCATGAAATGTAGCTTTTTACGTCTGGCTTCTTTCACTTAGTGTAATGTTTTTAAGATTCATCTATGTTGTAACATGTGTCAATTCTTCATTCCTTTTTATTGCCAAATAATCTTCTGTTGCATAGCTATTCCACGTTTTGTTTACCCACTCAACAGTTGATGGACATTTGGGTTGTTTCCAGTTACTGGACATAGTGCTCCTAAGAACATCAGTGCACAAAGTTTTGTGTAAACATGTGTTTTTAATTCTCTTGAGCATATACCTAGGACCTGAATTGCTTTTCATATGGTAACTGTTTTTCATATGGTAACTCTCTTTTTTGAGCAACTGCCAAACTGTTTCCACAGCAGCCACACCACTTCACACATTCCCAGCAGCAATGTAGGAGGGCTCTATTTTCTCCACATCATCACTAATGCTTGTTATTGTCCATCATTTTCATTATACCCATCTTTGTAGGCATGAAGTGGTATCTTATTATGGCTTTGATTTGCATGTTCCTAATGACTAATAATGTTCGAGCACCTTTTCCTGTGCTTTTTGGCATTTGTATATCTCCTATGGAGAAACGTCTATTCAAATCATTTGCCCATATTTACGTTGGGTTATTTTTCTTCTTATTTGTTGAGTTATAAGAGTTCTTTTGGGTGGGAGCAGTGGCTCACGCCTGTAATCCCAGCACTTTGGGAGGCTGAGGCAGGTGGATTACCTGAGCTCAGGAGTTTAAGACCAGCCTGGGCAACATGGTGAAACCCCGTCTCTATTAAAATACAAATATTAGCCGGACTTGGTGGCATGCATCTGTAGTCCCAGCTACTCAGGAGGCTGAGGCAGGAGAATTGCTTGAACCTAGGAGGCGGAGATCCAAGATCACGCCACTGCACTCTAGCCTAGGTGACGGAGAGAGACTGCATCTCCACACATACAAAAAAAAAAGAGTTATTTTATGTATTCTGGATACTAGAGTCTTGTCAGAAATATGATTTGCAAATATTTTCTCCCATTCTGTGGGTTGTCAAGGGTTTTCTTAGGGTTTTCTTTTACTTAGCTGGAGGAGTAGCTAAGTACATCTACCCCATCTTTCTAGAAGCAGAAGTCTCCCAAACTAGTCTTACAAAGCTTTTAGAAGGACCAAAGTGTGTTTCATTGCTTAAAACTCAAAAGTATTTTAAAGTCAGTGTGGGAGAGAAATCTTATTCTAGTGTTCAATTTTTTTGTTGTTGTTTCAAATTTAGAAATTATTCTAAAGTCAATTTAGGGGAAAGATTTTTATTTTATTGCTTGTTTTTCTGTGCATTTTTGTCTTACTGTGCTGTGTATTTAGAAAATATTTTCTACCTAGTGTGCAACAGCCTATGCATTATGTGCCAAGATACAGATCCCTACAGCCCTTTGGGTAGCCAGCAGGGCCTAGAGCAACCCAAACCCAGCATTTTATCTACATGTTATCATTGTATGTGTGTCATGAGGTGAAAAGGGTGAGGAGTTAAGAAAACAGGCTGGGCACGGTGGCTTATGCCTGTAATCCCAGCACTTTGGGAGGCCAAGGCCAGTGAATCACAAAGTCAGGAGATTGAGACCATCCTGGCCAGCATGGTGAAATCCTGTCTCTACTAAAATACAAAAATTAGCCGGGTGTGGTGGCGCATGCCTGTAGTCCCAGCTACTCAGGAGGCTGAGGCAGGAGAATCGCTTGAACCCAGGAGGCGGGAGGCAGAGATTGCAGTGAGCTGAGATTGCACCACTGCACTCCAGCCTGGCGAAACAGTAAGATTCTGTTTTTTTAAAAAAAAAGAAAAGAAAAGAAAAGAGAAAAGGGACCTTATAGCCCAAGTAAGAGGACAGCATTTCTACCTGTGGTATGTCTTTAAGCTCCGTAATCAGAACATTGGAAATAGGCACAGGAATGAGTGAGTGCTTCTCATTTTTAGGCTAAATAGATGGGTCTTTAATCTTTTCTTAGCAAACAGCAGGCAATTCAGAGTAATCACAAGAAGTCAAGAATTTTCTGATATCTCCTGTCTTCACCCAAATCATCTTCTACTGCAAAGACTGCTATCTTCTTCCTGGGTAAAGATTATTTTTTGTTTTTAAACCTCTGGTTCTGCTTCTCATACAAACTCAAATACTGATGTGCAGCCATGGCTAGAAATCTCAGAATTATATTTCTTTTGTTCCATAGGTGCCTGAGTGTGTCTTACCAGCTTCCCAGCACTGCCAGACTGTGCCATGAATGGATTATGCTTCTGATGAAATCCCTGGCTGTGTTTTATTCAGTCACCACCGCAGGGTTCTTGTATATTCTCAAGCACCCTCTCTGGGTTTCAGTTTTGCAGCACTGCAGGCTGATCAAGGGACACTTTCCAAACCACAGGGCTCTCCCTTTATTTGTCCCCACACTCTTTCATTGGCTGCATTGTCCTCTCATTTCTATCTGTATTCAATCTAATTTCCAATTTCTTTAGCTTTCTGAAATTCTGTATGCTTTCTCCATTCAGTCTTTTTTAGCCTTATTTTTGTCATTTTAAAAATTTACCTTCCTGTTATTATCTCTAGATAAACTAGTCATTCCCTCTTTTTTCCTTTGGCCTTTACGTTTCCTGAATATTTGCTAATAGCCTTGATTGTAAGCACTCAGACTCATTATAGACTAGGTACTCTTCATTTTTATTTGTTGTTTAATTCTGTTTCTTACGTCAAAGAGAGAAATGTATGTGAAAAGCTTTTATAAACCAGAAAACACTATACACACATATCACTTATTGAGGTTAACAAAGGACCACTGTGCCTCTTTTCATGCTTTCTGCTCTTCCGAGCCAAGAGAACTTCTCCATAAAGGAAGGAAATATTGAAGAAAAATAAAGCCATGGAGTTGTCTCTTAGCAACTGAGTTCGTGCATTATAAATCTCATCCACTTTAGACTACTGCTGCACAAAATCACTTGCTTTTCTTATTGGCTCAGTATAAATAATGTTATTAAATTATAGGAAAACAAAACAAATGAGTCATTCATTTAATCAGTTGTACTCTGTCTTTGCATAGCACTATTGATATAGTTGGGTGGTTTCTTCCTCTTGATACTAACTATAAACTTTTGTTATATATCTTTTATCACAACTTTAGTTGTAAACAAAGTAGAAGCTAAATACTACCTTCCGCATTTCTAGACTGCTTGATTTGTGAAGCAATATGAGTCATATATGTAGCACTTAACATGCACTGTATATAAGTCAAGTTGTACATAATTTAAAGAAAATCAGATGTGTAGAAACTCAACCCAAATTGGGATGTGATTATTTACATTATAAAAGAAGTCATTATAAGGATTTTTCAGATAGTCAATCTCCATAGTATATTTAATTAGCAAATACATATTTTTCCTTTTTATTTATTTATTTATTTTTATAGCAATGGAGTCTCACTGTGTTGACCAGGGTGGTCTTTAACACCTGGCCTCAAGCAGTCCTTCCACTTCAGCTTCCCCAAGTGCTGGAATTACAGGTGTGAGCTACCACAGCTGGCCGATTTTTGTTTGTTTGTGTTGAAATAGGGTCTCAGTCTGTCGCTCACATTGTAGTGCCGTGACACTTGTTCACTGCAACCTCCCCTTCCTAGGCTCAGGTGATCCTCCTACCTCAACCTCTCAAGTAGCTGGGAGTACAGGGATGTGCCCCATGCCTGGCTGACTTGCGTGCATGCGTGTGTGTGTGTGTGTGTGTGTGTGTTGTGTGTGTTACAGAGATGAGGTCTCACTATATTGTCCAGGCTGGTCTGGAACTCCTGGGCTCAAAGCAATCCTGCCTCCTCAGCCTCCCAAAGTGCTGAGATTGTAGGCATGAGCCAGTGCACCTGACATTCATTCAGCAAATATTTTTTAGTGTCTCCTATGCTAGACAATGGAAGGGATAAAGATTGTGTATGCATGCATGCGTGTGTGTGCGTACGTGCCCATAAATAGTCTTCAGTGTTCCGTCTAGTAAAGTAGATAAGACAGTACAGTGATAAATGCCTTGTGAGTCATAAGCTGAGTGCTATAGAAGCTCAGAGGAGGGAAAGGTCACTTCCTGCTGGGTGAGCTATTATGAATATGTGGCGAGGTGGTACGTTAGAGAATGGAAGACTGAGAGTTTGTCAAGCTAAGTAATTAAGGCAATGTTGAAGAGGTAGTGAGTTAGCATCCAGCGCTAGAGCAAGGAGTTTCAGCTTTAGTTAAGAAGCAATGGGGAGCCACTGACTTTTTTTTTCTTTTTGATCAAAAAGTTTTATCTAGGAAAATGTATCTGGCAGTAATGTGTAATTTCAATTTTTTTTTAAATAGTTCTTGGATAGTCTTAGGCTCCTTCTGTACAAAACAAAGCCATATTTATAAATAAATGAATTATGAAATGGATTCATTTCCAATCTTTTTAAAAGGTAGTCAGAAACTATTTTGAGAGGCAATTAGATATAGTAAGATAGGCTGCAATCTTACTTAAGATCTAAGCAGTGTACAAAGTGGGATAAAAATGCTACTTTTCATGATTTCTCAAACCATTTTTAGGGATTTTTTTGTGTCAGCCATCCTGCTATCTCATTTGTCCAATTAAAGCAAGGCAGAAATCCTCCATTCTCCTTTTTCCCCATTCTCGGATAGAATGAATGTCTATACTGAAAAGAACTCATCAGTAGTCCTCTCAGATTTGTTGAAAATTTTGCCAAATATTTGTATAACTCTGCAGAAAACTTTGTTTCTCAGCCTTCTCCTTTATGGGGAAAACAAATAGTGGGCATGATGGCTTACCCTTACCTTTCTGCATTGTGGTGACAGCTGGCTGATAAAAGATAAAGTGTTATGTGTAATTACCCTGAAATGTTCATAATTAATGGAGAAATGAAATGTAGACACTTTGTTAGTAGAAACCACTGTGGTTTGGAAGCAGTGTTTCAGTAATAAAGACTGGATAAATAAGATTGGCTAGTGTTTTTCATTCCTCAGGGAATTTACGACGTAAGATGATCCCCACCTCTCACTATTAAGGAAGTAGCATTTCCTACAAATTTATCTCATGATTAATTGTGTTTTTTTTACAACAACACAACAGGAAAAGGTATGTTTTCCAACAGGTTGGAAATGTGAATCCTGGCTTCGTTACTAACTTGCCATGTCACTAGATAAATCAAGTGATCCTTTTTGTCCCTCATTTTCTGACTAGACTGCCTGAAGCTTCCATAGCCGAAAGAAACTACCTGCCACGTCAGCAGCATGCAACTGTGGGTGACTCAGGGACATATAACCTAAAGCTACTGGGTAAAATATTTTAAGAATAAGACTTGGGAAGCTGAAGAGTGTACTGATTTGCTGTCTTCTTCCCTCATTGTATTGACCAAGCAAGTGTATGCCCGAGTTCAGAGTTGCAGGGGGCAGGAGGGATGTGTGTCCAGGAAGAAATCGTGGCTTCTGCTCTGAAGATCTGGTCATATCTCAGGTCAATTGCAGTCCGAAGAACCTAGGAAAGACCGTTTGTGGTTCTAATCCTGGTGATATTTGGGTCTCTTCTGAGAGGTACTCAGTTTCTCTCTTGAGAAGGCTTAGGCCTTCCTAAAAAAAAAAGTGAAGAAAGAAAAAAAAAGAAGGAAAGAAAGAAAAAAAACAATTGCAATTTTTATTCCATGATGAATTTATGGAAAAGATTTAATAATAGCCAATGAAATAAGTTGTTTTTTGAAAATGTATTTTGGGTTTCAGAGCAAGGATTTTCTTTTTCTGCTTCTGACCCAAACATGAAAAGAAGTTCATAATAGTCCTTGAAATGTCAGTTCATGCTATTAATTGAAAGCATTTCTTTCATCTGCTGTTGGGGCTGTATCTGACTAGATCCTCTCCAGGCTTAAAAAGTTAGGAGCACAGTTTTAGAAATGAAAAATTATTTTGAATGATACCTTTTAGGTGTCAGAAAGAGCTTGCTGCATTGAATTGAATCAAATCGAAGCACACTCAGTAAAAAATAATAGCCCCTGGCTTGACAGCTAGAATTTCATTGGAAACCAGAAGGTTCCTGGCCGAGTTTTTGAATCTGAAAACCTCCAAACCACCATGGCCAGTGCCTAGGATTGTAGAACCATACTATAAAACATGAGGGCTGGGGGCTGTCCACAGTGGTGAGAATCTGCTGTTATTTCTCAGCACATCAAATCTATGGTGAATACTAGTGTGTAGACTGTAGTCTAGTTCAGACTGCAATGTGAGCATGAATAGTAGAAGAGCAAGTTTAGGAAAGAGAAGGAAACTGTGAAGACAAAGCCAAGAGGAGAGGGTTGCTTAGGTAACCACAAAGGCACATTTTAGCCATTCAAAGAACACTGCTTCCTTTTTGCTCCTCTTCTGTATATCTTCCCCACAAAAAGATTGTTGAGGGGGCAAGGGAGATAAAAGGAGGAGAAAAGCATAGACTCAAAAAGAAAAATAAATTGATAAAAAATGATCATCTGTATCTCCTGGAAGTTTTCAGTGTTTTGGGGGTATGCACCCCAGCTTAAACACATTCTACTAAAACATTTTCCTCAGCTCTGCAGCTTTTAATAATGCTGTATTATCCAAAAGATTTTTCTATGTGTGGCCTGTTTGCTGCTGTCCAGAATCCCATAAGAACAGGATAGGAAAGCTTAGGGAATATCTTTCCTCCATTCTGTTTCCACAGTGGTACTCATTTTCTTCCATTTAAAGTATATATAAAATCCTTATTTTCTTTTTAGGTAACAGTATGACTAAATATACTGAGAAGCTAGAAGAGATTAAGAAAAGTAAGTAACACTCTTAATGGTTTGGGGAAATGGAAGTCTATAGTTGTTCTATACGTTGGTTCTGAACTAACAATCGTGTTTTACAGCTGACAGGCACAGAGAGTTATGGATGGGTAGATAAGCCTAGCAGGTGCCTTAAGGGCTGTGGGAGATCCTGGGTGCTATCCTGGGCAGCTCCTCAGATTGTGGCCTGTGGGCCTAAATTCTGCCCTACTTCCATGCCATAGGAGACATTGATGTTGGCATGTAGAATCAGATCTGGTGGAATGAGCTCTGTTTAAGCTTCTAGTGTCATTGTACTACAGTCTTCATGTCCTTCTTCAATATATTTCATCTTTTCTGTCTTACTATGTCTCTATTTGAGATAGGAGTAATAATACCTTCCTTCAGAACATTCTTGTATGTATAAATGAGAGTATTCATGGAAGACAGGGATATGAGAACTTAGTGTTACACATTATCAATTCATTGCAGTCTGTTTTCTTTTCATTAAAAATCATATTTCATCTACATCCTTTTAAAAACCAAATCTGCAAAGATATGTTACCAGTCATTGAGTGCATTACCCTTGCACAAAATCATGATTTTTCAATCTACGTCTAAAACTGACGTAAAGTGTACACTTCAAGGTCAGAATTAAGGAAGAAATAGAAACATCTATTTTCTAAGATGGATTTGCTCATATCTTGAATAAAAGAACCCAGTGCTAGGGAGAGTATTTAGTTAATGGTGGTAAAGAGGTACTCTGATTGATCATAGTTCAGGACTTGGCTCTGGTAATGTACATCTTCTTGAAAGAGAAAATTACACATCCAGAATACACCAGAACATTTTCCTTTTTTACACAGCAGACCTTTTCATTTGAAATCAAAGTGTTCCATTTGAATTACTGCAGCATTGGGAAACCCCAGCCAATAGATGTGGACTCAGGAGCTGCTTTATGCTGTGTTTTCATTTGCCATGTTCAGCTATAACATGCTACAGACTTCTTAAAAATATGTAATGTCACAGTATCCTCTTTTTTTTCTAAACATTTTATATAAGTATATGTATTTTAAATATCTATATAAAATATATACTTTTAAACTCTGGAGAAAGATCTCATTTACTCACCTAGAGTTCATTGTTGCCATCCTTAACTCATCCAAGGCAGGAAGAATCCAACTGGCCTGCTTCTTTTTGGGTTTGTCGTCTCTGTCACCTTTCATCCATTTGTAGCTAAGTGTGAGTTCACATATCCTCACTAGAAATTTGTCCCATAAAAAGGTCCCATTCCACCCAGGTTGCCAGAACCTCACTTAAAATATTTCTTCAAAGTACAATGTGGTTTCTTTAATATCTAAACCTCACGTGGAGGTGACCTCCCAGAAGAAATACCCTTGGAATAGAGCCTTGAAAATGCTTGCTTCACTTTCCCTCTGTAGAAGTGGAGAGCTTCCTTTTAGTAGAGCAGGAGGTTCCTGTTACCCCATTTCACACACTTTGTGCTGATTCCCTGACAGAATTGCTTTAGATTCTCGCTTGACATCTACATTTTGGAAGATATTTCCTTTTCTTTCACCATTTTCTGTTGTAAGCATTCTTTGGGGTTGAAAGGGAGGAGAATATTCCTTTGTTTCATGATACCCTAGACCCATCACTTTACTCAGATTACCTTAGATGCCATTTCTTTCTGTGAAACCACAGACCTTGTTCTGTTACTTCCTTTGATTCATCTTCCACTGTGAGCCCAACTTCCCTTTGCTAATAATGCGTTTCAACAGAACCCTGAAAATGCAGAAATCCTTTGTAATCTGAATATTCTTTCCACTCTACCTGGAGAAAATAGACACTCTGTGTCTATTGACAATTTACAAAGCCCATTCTTGGTTTCTGGTGGTTAGATGACACTAGTTGGACCCAGTGTGAAACATCCTAGATAGTCAGGCCTCTGTCCTTCCAGTAACTCGAGAGAGACAGACTTAGATCCAAGACTTACTGGAGAAGCAAATCTTGATAAGGTATCTGAAACTAGGATTATTTGTCTTCAACACAGAGTTTGGGAGAAGACACAGTAGCAGAAGCTCCATTCTTAAAGCTCTGTTCGCTCTTGTAAGGACAGACTGACAGAGCCTTCCAAGTCATCCTTTTTATAAAAATTTAAACTTACCATAAAACGTCTAGTTTGATCTTTTATCTCTGAGTAATAATGTCAGAAAGTCCTACTGATGGCTGCCCTTCTAAACCAGAACCAGGTACGTAGAGTTCAGGTTCAAATATGTAGGGGGCTTCTAGTGCTTGTGCAGAAGACAGTAGAAATGTCAATCTTTAGAATAAAGCAGTCTTTCTATGTTTGTATAAATGAATCTCTGTTTAGTTAAAGGGGATTTTAAAGTATACGTTTTATGCTTAGAAGCATTTCAAACTATGTTTACCATACCAAAAGAATATCAATGGATAAATGTCACAGTGCAAACTACTTGACAGCTGTTGGCTGTTTCCATTTGCTGATTTATTGTTGTTTTGGTTTGCATAAATGACTTTTGGTGGGAAAGTTGGTGGCAATCAAAAGGAACACTGTAGTTATTTGGTTGTACTTTGTAAAGCCTCAGCTTGGCCTATTTGGGTCTGCATCCTGGCAGGTTTTACAAGTTCCACTGCATATAGTTGTATCTAGAAGAAGCATCTCTAAGCATTTTCTAGAAGTAATGGTCTGTTATTAGCCAAACTGCTCTCTTTAAAACACTTTGGAACAGAGAAGTTTAATCCCCTGTTTTAAAAAAGCCTTGATATATTTACAGAAGGCTAGTTTTTAAAGCAGTATCATTTTCTGACTCTTGAGCCTTAAGTTGCTTAGTAAACCAAGATTACATTATCCTCCAAAGTAACCACCCAGTCTGTGCTGGTTTTTGGAAAATTCATGGAAGTGATTAGTAACACCAGGTAAATAATCTTAAATACCTTTAATCCTTTCCTTTGTCGCTAGGAGTCTTGGTTTATGAGACATTTATGCCGTGAAGGTCATAGCAGTTAACCAGTTAACCTTTAGTAATTCTGAAATAATGAGGCAGCATTCAGGGAGTCATGGGTACCAATATGAAAATCTAGGTGAGGAGGAAAGGATGAGGGTGGGCAGAGTTCAACACTGAAAACCATTCAGAATTTGGCTGTCATCTTCAAAACAGTTTAAAGAAGCTAACCTTTAACACGTATCTATGCAACAGATAACTAAAGTGAGATTGGCTTAGTTTTTAATAACTGTGTAATGTGATAGGAAGAATTATTAACACAAGTGTGGAAATACCTATAGTTGAGTTACAGCTCAGAACTGTAAAGACAGCACTGAAAAATATTGATGTTTTAAGTTTATTTTTTTTTGTTGTTGAGACACAGTTTCACTCTTACCCAGGCTGGAATGCAGTGGTGCAATCTCGGCTCACTGAAACCTCTGCCTCCCAGGTTCAAGTGATACTTATGCCTCAGCCTCTCTAGTAGCTGAGATTACAGGTTTGCAACACCACGTCCAAGTAACTTTTGTATTATTAGTAGAGACAGCGTTTTGCCATATTGGCCAGGCTGGTCTCAAACTCCTGAACTCAAGTGATCTACCGGCATCGGCCTTCTAAAGTGTTGGGATTACAGGCATAAACCATCAAATCTGGCTTAAGCTGGTTTTTATTTTGTTTTTTTAAATGGTGGGGGTAGGCGTGCTGGCTCACTTCTGTAATCCCAGCACTTTGGGAGGTTGAGGTGGGTGGATCACTGTGGGTCACTTGAGGCCAGGAGTTCAAAACCAGCCTGGCCAACATGGTAAAACCCCACTCTACTAAAAATAAAAAAATTAGCTAAGCACGGTGGCAGGTGCCTGTAATCCCAGCTACTCGGGAGGCTGAGGCAGGAGAATTCCTTGAACCTTGGAGGTGGAAGTTGCAGTGAGCTGAGATCACACCACTGCACTCCAGCCTAGGTGACAGACAGGCTGAACAACAGAATAAATATAAAATATTTATTTATTAAATATTGTTATTTATTAAATATTTTATTAAATGTTTAAATAAAATAAAATGGTGGTAAACGGCAAAAACAAAAACACATAACACCAACCATTGCAATGGTTTTTAAGTGTACAGGTCAGTAGCATTAAGTATTTTCACACTATCATACAACAGAACTGCAGAACTTTTTCATCTTGCGAAACTGAGTAGGTTAATTTTTTGGCCAGGGCACAGTGGCTCATGCCTGTAATCCTCGCACTTTGGGAGGCCGAGGTGGGTGGATCACCTGTGGTCAGGAGTTCAAGACCAGCCTGGCCATCATGGTGAAACCCCATCTTTAAAAAAAAAAAAATTTTAATGAAGTGAAGTTGGAGAGAAACTGAGAGATGATCAGAACCAATCACAACTGTATGTCCAGCATGCACATAGAAGTGTCATCCTACAGCTCCAGCATAATGTGGAATGGCAGGAATATCACTGCTCTCTTTTTAAGCTGAAGTCAGAATAGTGGGGCATGCATGTCTTGCCAGCTGTTTGAGCTGGGGCAACTCAGCCTCTCTGAGTCTCTGTCCTCATTTGTAAAACACAGGCATTTCTTCCCTGCTTTGCTCTGAAGAAGATTTGAGATGGCTTACAAAAATGCATGCAGTCCAACGTGGTCAAAGAAGAGACAGCTTAGTTAAAGGAAAATGATAGACCAATAAAATAAAGGCAAGGGGTAAACTCACTAGACCAAAGGTAGCTTATAAATACAACTTTAAGCTTTCTAATGACAAAGCAAAGGGAAGCAAATTGAACAGATGATAATACCACCTGCCACACCTAAGTTTGAGGATATCATGAAGAGCAAATGAGATAATAGATGTAAAAGCATATAAATAACTTGAAAGACCACAAAACTTCACAACTAGAATTAATAGCTCTAAAAAGGAAAAGTAAATCTAGATAAATATTTGTCTTACCATATTTTTCAGATTATAGGTACAAAAAAGATGAGCTTTTCAAGAGACTAAAAGTTACAACTTTTGCCCAGCTGGTAAGTTTCATGATCTTTGCATTGGAGTAAAGACTGTCTAATTTGTGTCACTTTATGTGAGTATTTCTAAATTCAACTCTAGGGAATGTTTGCAGAGGAGTTTCTTCTGATTCTTTGTATGTTGTTCAGCTATGGGAGGATTAATTGGTTTGTAGTATGTGTGTTTACATGAGGATGATGAGAAATTTTTCTCTCTTCTTTGATAAGAATTCTATAAAGTAAATGCTTGTCCTACTTTTAATTCATTAAATTTGTGGTTTAGGGTTTTTTTCCTTATCCATTTAACTTTATATTTAGAATCTAAAATTCTGGATCTTGGATTGTTTTAACATTTTTCTTTGGAAACCAAGTGATTTCCCCTTTTCTTTGATCTTTTCCAAATCGTCCTACCATAAGATGTTTTGTTATTTTGGGCAAGTTGCTTTTTCATTTGAAAATTATGAAGAAGGTGTCTCTCCAGCTCCCAAGCAAGAGTTCTACTGGCATAACTCAAGTTGAATCTTGGGTCTTGTTAGCTAAATTGTAAAAAGTGCTTTAAAAATGAATACTGTATAGAAGTATAAAACGCTTTAATCAGTATATTCATTATTACATTTATTTCTTCATTGCATGGAGAATTGCTGATATCATTCTATGTTATGGTAGGTCAGTATTGCATTTTCAAGAAATAATGTGTAATGCTTGGACCAGGTCATATACAGATGTGGTTTTAAACTCTTATTCATGTTTCCTGTCCTAAATTATCCTCTTAGCATTCTAAGTTTACGTAGTGTTTTAAGTGTGTCTTTTCTTCTGAAATGATCATGTGCAGTATATTACCAAGACAAAAGGAAGGAGGCCTCAGATTTAGTCTTCAGTCGAGGACACTGACAGCTTTTTAAAACAAGAGATCTTTGATGTTTGCTGTTTCCTCCTCTTTTGTAGCAGACAAAATTGCCTCTGTTTAAAAACAAACAAACATCCACACATCCACACATTTCATTCCTTTTTCTATCAGGTCATCCAAGTTGCTTCCCTCTCTGATCAAACACTGGAAGTGACAGCTGAGGAGATTCAAAGGCTGGAAGGTAATGAGAATTGAGGGTGTGGGGAAAATAACAGACCCTACCATTTGACTGAAACACTCACCCTGTACACATTTGCTGTCTGTTCCCAGGGACTGGGACTTTGATGTGTCTATTTGTAATTAGATTGTTACTCTCAGGGAAATGCTACCTGATACTTTAGTTGTTAATGCTTATTTTAAAAAGCCATCTGGTTTTCTTGTTCTAACACTTATAGCTTTAAATGTTTTAGATGTGTTTAATATACTAAGTACTTTTTTCAACTAATATTTTTAGCATTCTGTGTACCTACACATTAAGTGCTATGAGACTACAGAGATGAACAAGCACAGCTCTGCTTCCATGAAATTTACAGTTACATATGTGCATGTGCACACATCTGTGTTGGGTGGGCTGAATGATAACAGTACCACAAAATTACTTAGCTGGCAGAATTTTTAAATGCAGGAATGGAAGGAAACCATTGTTTGTTGGTGGTATATTGCAAGGTGAATTCACATGAATTTTCTTACTTAATCTTTTCAAAAACTCTGGAAGGAAGGTACTCTTAACAGATAAGAGGCCCAAGCTGCAGAGGTTAAGCTGCCTCCTCAAAGTGATACAGCTAGTAAAGAGGAGACGTGGGTTACAAATCTGAGTGTCTCCAGTAGCATCCAGGGTCTTCTCACTGCCTTCCTTGTACCCTTAAGGGATTCTAAAAATTGCCTTTAGGAAAGATACAGGATGTTGTGTGAGAGTTCCAAGGAAGGAAAGACACTTGCAGTTAGAAAACCGAGGTAGGCAGCTGAGTATGATGGCTCATGCCTGTAATCCCAGCACTTTGGGAGGCCAAGGCAGGTGGATCACGAGGTCAGGAGTTCAAGACCAGTCTGACCTACATGGCGAAACCCTGTCTCTACTCAAAAAAATACAAAAATTAGCTGGGTGTGGTGGCACACGTCTGTAATCCCAGCTACTCAGGAGGCTGAGGCAGGAGAATGGCTTGAACCCAGGAGGCGGAGGTTACAGTGAGCCAGGATTGCGCCTTTGCACTCCAGCCTGGGCGACCGAGCAAGACTCCATCTCAAAAAGCAACAAAACAGAAGACCGAGGTAGGCTTCCTCAAGGCACTGGAACTGGGCCTTGAAGTGGGGTAGAATCTTAACAGGTATAAGTTAAAGATGAAGCTGTTGCAGGCTGAGGAGCAGTCTGAGAACGGCACGGAGAGGAGAGCACACCAGTCATGTTTGGGGAATCGCGTCATCCAATCTGGCTGTGGTCTAAGGGACGAGTAGGCGCTGGGTAGGAGATAAAGCGAGAAAGACAGGTAGGCTTCAGATCTCTTAATTGCCAAGTTGAAAATAAAACCTCCTAGTTCTACTCTCATGAAAAGCATACACAGAGTTACGGTCTTTATTTTATCCTGAAGTACCCAGCAATCAGTGTGTGGCTGTTTATTGAAGAGGAATGTGTTTTGTTAAGGTTGATGTAGGTCAGGAATTTAACTTCTGATTTCAAGACAAGTTTCTCAGGAAGTCTGAACACTGGGTTTGTGCAACTCAACTGTCATTTCCCTGGGCTGGTTTTTGTTAGGGAGGATAAAGAGAATCTGAAAACGACAGGAATTTATCTTTGACAGATGCCTCTCACACAGCAGAGAAATAAGAGCTCTTTGTAACAGAGATAATTGAGTCTCCTCATACAAGTACTCCCAATTTTAACTGGGTTATATAAGCACCTAGATTTGGTCCTTTAATTCATTGTTGAGATTGCAGCACCAGAACATATGGGCACATGCAATTTTCTCTTCTGAGATAAATTTGCACAGCAAAATAGGCTCTTGTAAAGTAGGACACCATAATGTGTGAGTAATATTAGTGTTTTTCTAGTGCTCTACACAGATAATAACTCACTCAGGAGTGCCTGGGGAGCAGATTGTATCTGTATGCATATTGGCTATCTCTGAAGGGATTAAAAAAATCTCCTTTTATAATGTTTATTGCTTTTTCATAACTTAAAAGTGTATTTCCAGTAAGTTAGGAAATTATAAAAAGTATATAAAGAAGAAAATTAAATAACGAATAATCATTGTTAATGTTTTGGTCCACTGTCCTGCTCTCTAACCCCTCACTCCAATTATATCTATATTCTTTGTATATAATTTTGTATTGTGCTGTTTTTAATTATCACTTTTTCATTCATGTTTTCCCATGTCATAAAGTAGGCTTCAAAAGCACGATTGTAAAGATCGTGTTGTCATCTAATGTCTGTCCTTTGGATATACCATAATTTAATTATCTTGTTGAGCATTACAGTTTTTTTCTGATTTTTCACCTTTATAAAATAATGCTATAATGTATATATGTAAATGTTGGTATGATTCTGATTTTTCCCTGAAGATAAATTGCTGCAGAGGGTCAAAGGGTGGAACCATCTTAGGCACCCAGTACTGATCGCCCCGTTCCCTCCAGCGTGGCTGTACCTGTTTGCATTCTGACCAAGAGTGAATGAGAAGACCTGTTTTTCCTCATCCTAGCTAAAAATGAATAATTATCATTTCTGTAAATATTTTCCAATTCAACAGATGAAAAACAGTGACTAATAGTTTTTTTATTTATTTGATAAAAATATTGAGCTCTGCGTGTATGTGTGTGTTTACTGGTCATAAATACATATTTCTTCTTTTAAGGAGTTTACATGCTCTTTTTCTTTTCTTTCTAATAGGATGTTCATCTTTTTCTTAGTGATTTGTAAGAGTTCTGAATAATTTATACGATAGAGAACAATACTAACTTGACAATAAGTGAGAAAAATCTTGATTAGCTGGAACAATTTCCAGGCTGTATTATTAAGTAAAAATAAAACAAAAACCCAAAGTATAAAATAATATGAATACAGTTCTCCTGGAGATGTAAAAGGGGGAAGAAGTAAAATATATATAAGCTGTAAATGTTTTATTTCTAGAGTGAGACATAAATACGTGGAAGTGTTTAATATACTAATACTTCCCTTAGGGAAGGAAGAAGGAGGGCCGGCATTTCTTCAGTGGGAAAAAGACTTCCTTTCCATGTTAATAATTTAATCTTGTTTGCATTTTTACCTCGTGCACATGATCCTATTGCATTTTTACTCTTTTCACATTATGTTAAAGAGCTAGTTAGTTTTTAAATCTATAAATTAAGTATATTAACCTTTTAAATTCATATGTATTACAGGTATTTTCCCTAATTTGTTATTCACCTTTTAATTTTCTTTGTGTTGGTTTTTGATATATATTAGGTTGCATTTTCACATGATCAAATCTATTAGCCTTTATTGTTGTTTCCTTTTATTGCTTTAGACTCATAAAATTCAATGTAGGTAAATTATTTACCTACATTTTCTTCTGTTGGCTTGTTTGCATTTAAACTATCTGTTATGTATTTTGATATATGACATGCGGTGATTTTCTAAATTAGATTTTTCCAGATAGTTGAGAAATATTCCCAGCACCATATACTCAGTAGTACTCCCTTTACCCACTGATTTGTGATATGAATGTTTTCACTTTTTATTTATATTCTTTTCCATATTCTCTATTCCATTGTTCTGATTGTAGTTCTGTACTATTTTGATCATTTACCTTTTTAACATATGTTGCTATTTGATAAGACAGTCTCCAAATCACCCCTAATTATGTGTGCATATACATGTATTTTCCTGTTTCCTCGTACATATAAAAAAACCAACATATCAAAAACGCATGTGTGTAGAGTGCTTCCAGAATATTTAAGTCTTGTGAATAGGAAAAAAAAGGATCTGACTGTGTATGTGTGTGTATGTGTGTGTTGGGGGGGTATTTTTTAAATCCCTGGAGGTTTTAAAAAATCCCTTTGGAATTAGTATTAAGGCCAAAAGTTAAATTTGGGAGGGACTAACAATTTAGTTTTAGTTTCCCAATCAGGAATATGCAGGGTGTGTCACTGTCTTCATTGAGGTCTTCTTTAAGGGCTCTAAGTAAAATTTTTATAAGTCCTAAAAAGTGTTTATACATTTTTATAGGTTATTTACATTTGGTTTAGGTTCATTCCTTGGAGATTACATTTTATAGCTGTAGTTGTTACTGTATATGAGATTTTTTCCATGTTATTTTTTAATTGGTATATAGGCAAAATATTTTAGCATTTTTTTTATCTAACCACATATTTATTGCACTTACTCTCATATGCTCTTAAAATATCTAGGTATATTATCATATGATATGCAAAATAAATTTAATATCCTCTTTAATAATTAGACTTGTTATTTTAATTTTTATTGTATTTTATTTTATTTTGAGATGGAGTTCTGTTCTGTTGCCCAGGCTGGAGTGCAGTGACACGATCTGAGCCCACTGCAACCTCCGCCTCCTGGGTTCAGTGGTTCCCCTGCCTCATCCTCCTGAGTAGCTGAGATTACAGGTACCTGGTACTACGCCTGGCTATTTTTTGTATTTATAGTAGAGACAGTTTCGCCATGTTGGTCAGGCTGGTCTCGAACTCCTGACCTGAAGTGATCCACCCACCTCAGCCTCCCAAAGTGCTGGGATGACAGACGTGAGCCATGGCGGCTGGCCTGTTATTGTTATTTTTTAAAATCTCATTGTATTGGTTAGGACAGCAAATTCTCAAACATTTTGGTCTCTTCTTCCGCTCTCTTAAAAATTAATGAAGATCCCAAAGAGCTTTGGTTTATGTGCTTTATGTCTATTGATATTTAGTGTATTAAAAATTTAACCTGGGAACTGAAACTGTATTTATTTATTATTTCACTTAAAAATAACATAATAAACCCATTACAAACATAAATAACATGTTTTTATGAAAAAAGTATTGTTTTTAAAACAAAACTTTGCTGAGAATGTCATTTAGTTTTACATATTTTGTAAATCTCCTGAGTGTCTGGTTTAATGAAAGCATCGCTGATTTTCCTCTCTGCTTCTGCAGCATATGTTGCGATACGCTGTTTGGGTTAAAGCGTATGAGGAAAATCCAGCTCACACAAACCTGTAGGTGGAAAAAGGAGCAGTGTTTTAATAGCCCTTTCAGATAAAACTTGACAATGGCTAGTTTCTTAAGAGTTAGCTGTAATGTAAAAACCTGAAATCATATCAATGAATCCTTCATACTCTGTTAGATTAAAATCAGGCATTTTCAGTGTAACCATCTTGTACTTTGAATCTTTTACCCATGCATGATTGTATAACATCATGCATTGGCCATTTAGAAAATACTGGTTCACTGAATTACAAAGATCTTCCCAAAAGTTAATGCATTTTATTATACAACTGTCAAAAAAATTGCACATATTAATCTCTCTATCTGTCTTACCAGAAAAGTCTAAAAGCATGGGAAGCAGCTCCCCATACTTCAGTTCCTGATGGCAAATACAGTTTTTAAAATTCTGAGTTTTGCCCAAATACAATAATTGGCAACAATGCCATCAATAATATTCCTTGAGATAACAGGCTTATTTAGTTCATTTTTGAGAAAATGTCTGCCAAATACACAAGTCTAACTAACCATAGTTTTTCTGTCAGTTTTTCTTCCAAGCAAAAATGGTGTGCACAATGAAAGTTACTGGTTCAGCCTGCAACTCAGCATGCACACTAACACTTTTCCTTGAGATAACCCTGGTAATTTGGTATATAGCAAACTTAATTGTATGTGGACTCCTCGCTTCACCACACAGATCATTGAAAAAGCATGTACTTCAAGGTGAGATTTAATAAGAATGGTAACTGTTACTGCTTTATCAGGGACCTTCTTGTAGTGTGACTGCCATACTTATTTACTGTGAGTGCATGTGTGATAGTGAATAATACAGTGATTGCTAATAAAGTTTGGTGCCACAGCGCTGATTCTTCCTAAGGTGCTAGCAGCTTTATTCACCATTTCTTTTGTACCATCAGTGCAAATATAAACACTCTAAAAAAGACAAGTAACATCTTTTGAGCATAATTTTTACCTTGCAGATCCCCTGAAAGGGTCTTGGGGATGTCTGGGGTCTACTACATTCTGGGAGCTTGTATATTAGCACTTCACAACAATTTAATAATGGTGATAAGAGTTCCTTTTCTTGACTGAATTTCAGTGTAAGAAGTAAATACAAATCCTGAGGTTCAATCTAATCATTTCTTCATTTGTAAATATTAGACAATGATTCTACAGCTTCAGACCCTGATGCTGAAACCACTGCCAGGACCAATGGGAAAGGAAGTCCAGGTGAGCAGCCACCAAGCCCTGAGCAGTTCATGAACAACGCGGGAGCTGGGGACTCCAGCCGCTCAACTCTTCAGAGGTACTCGAAGCTGATTGATATTTTCACTGTATTTTGCCTTTATATTAATCTAGAGGCCAATTTCAGGGATTTTTTTTTTTTTTTTGCATTAGAAACAGAACTGGCAGGAGTAAAGTCTCACATTTTAAACCCAGCCTTCTACTTTCTCCCTATATAAATGCCACCTCCTGATTCTTTTTCACTGCATTCTTACTGAGTTAATGTGAGAATATATTATTAGGAGAGTTTCATTTTCATTTTTCAGTTCCATTCTTCTCCCTCCTACATGGAAGTTCGTTATGAGGAATTAGCTTTACAAATACCATCTTTTGATTCAGAAAGTATGATTTTTCCCCCTTTTCTGGCTGCTGCAGCTTACTGTCCTGTCCAGAAGTGACAGTGCCACACATAGCACTCCAATACTGAGTTAGGTGCAAAGGAAAAAGCAGAACTTGGTGTTGATTCCAAAACTGAATGTGGCTGTTCTTTCTATTTTATTTTTCTGCTCTTTCTTCTAAGGCATGGGCCTCCTTATTTCTTGGATTACATGGACTTTAGTTCTTTAGTCCATGTAGTACTTTCTCACAAATACTAACTTTTCAGCAGATACCCATCCCTTTGACTGATAAAATAGTTCTACTAGAGAAATTAGTTCTACCAGAGAAAGAATTGCTATCATCATCCAACTATTCTTCTTCTTTTAGCTTTATATTATTATAGTTAAATTGTGAAGGTACTCTAAAATTGCACTCAAGAAGAGATAGGCCAACAAGACTTCCACCGAGGATACAGTTTCTTATCAAATGGATGTTCTTCTCCTTTGATTCAACAAAATATGCACTATATAGCATGGAGTTATAGTGTTTACTGGATTTAAATGCAGAATTTGATTTGCTGTTATAGGAAAGGAACTAAGCTACATACTCATCTGTGGTTTAGCATATGTGTCTTAATATTTCCTAAGAAAGTAACCATCTTCTTATTCCAGTAAGGATAGTCACTGCTTGACATTTTGTTCATAACACCTAGTCTTCTTATTTGATTCCTGTTTTTACCACATTTTCCCTATAATATTAAGACAATGACCAGTTTCAGTGATTGAGTGATCTTAGATTCAGAACTGTTAGTGGTAGTGGTTAGCTTCCTCATTTTAATCCCAGCTCTTCCTCTGTCTCATTCTGTGAATGCCGCCAAATCTAAAGCCTCATCAACCTCAATGTTGTAACCTACCAAACTAAAGTAAGTACAGAGAGCTATGGAAGTATTAAGACTCAATACCATAGCAGATAGGTCACTGACTACATATATGAAATTTATAAAGCATTATTGTTACTTTACATTACATATGAAATACCTAGAAAGAAATGCCTTTCCTTTTTCCTGTCCTACCAACCGTATTATTTCCTCTTTGGCTCCACTGGATTCACTCTTCCTCTCATTCTCCCTCTGATCTGCCCTTGTGGCTGGAGGCAGCATGCGCCTGTCAGTCCCTACCCAGTCCGCCATGTAATGCACTGCCACTCATTGTCTGAAGGTGAGTGTGGACATGTGGGTCTCCTCTGTGGGGTCCAGTGTGGTAAAAGAGGAATCCACAGGATCCTGCATTCAGAGGCAGAACTGAGACACCACATCGATTTTCCTTTCCTTTTGAAGCGCCCTTTGAAAAGACATTGAGCACTCATCTCACTATTCTGAAGAAACACGTTCGACCTTTAAGCCACCAACCTCTGACTAGTTTCTGCTGACCTACTTTTTCACTTGCAGTGTCATCAGTGGCGTTGGGGAACTGGATCTAGACAAAGGGCCGGTGAAGAAAGCTGAGCCCAATACCAAAGACAAACCTTATCCTGACTGCCCCTTCCTGCTGCTAGATGTGCGTGACAGAGATTCTTACCAGCAGTGCCACATTGTTGGAGGTAAGAGAAAGAAACCTTTGAAGTGCCTCACTCTCAAGAACAGAGAGCCTGCTCTTGAGTCTAGGCAGGCTGGAACCACAGCTCATAGCAGACAGTTGAGGAAACTGTACGTTAGCTGGATCCATTATAGAATCCTATAGGGTTGGCTCCACCATAAAATACTCTGAGAGGCTGCTGATTTTCACAGGTGGCTGTCAGAAGCAGTGAAGTGAAACTTCATACTTTGTTCATGATGCCCTCTTTCTTTTCTTTCGCAGAAGTGTTTGGTTTTTTGGCTCATTGGTTTTGTTGTTGTTGTTTTGTCAGTTCCTTGCTCTGTTGCCAAGGCTGCAGTGCAGTGGTGCGATCATAGCTCACTGCAACCTTGCCCTCCTGGGCTCAAGTGATCCTCCTGCCTCAGCCTCCCTAGTATCTGGGACTATGGGCACATGCCACAACACCCGGCTAATGTTTTTGTATTTTTTATAGAGATAGGATCTCACCATGTTGCCCAGGCTGGTCTCAGACTCCTGGAATGACTGACATTGATTCCATTTAAGTGGGGAAACAAAAGGCCTCAGATCCACCCACTTTGGCCTCCCAAGGTGCTGGGATTACAGGTGTGAGCCACGGTGCCCAGCAGCTCATTGATTTTGAACATGTATTGAACTCTTAGATTTTAAACCAGCTGGGAATTGAGGCCAAGTTGTACTAAAACTACAGACTTCCTAAAATATTTCTTCTCTTTGCAGCTTACAGTTACCCAATTGCAACTCTGTCTAGAACAATGAACCCTTATTCAAATGATATTCTTGAATATGTATCCTTTGTTGCATTTCAAGGAATTGGGTGGTATGAGGATTATAACTATCAAAGTTATTGTGAACCATGCTCCTGGTAAGAGTACTGTGAGGAACCTTTGACATTAATCAGCTGAGCATATGTTAGAATTTGGATTCCTAGCTATCACCAAGATTCCTGACTCTTCAGGCAGATGCTTTTAAACCGTCTAGCCCTGGGCCAAAGAACATTAGGTTAAGAGTTATGATCCATCAAGAGTTAGTCCTAAGAGGGTTTTTTTCCTCCCAGAAAACTTTCCATAGCAAAGCTTAGTTTTTTTTTTTTCTATTTTAATTTTTCTTTTAAAATTTTAATTTTTTTATTCATAAAAATTATACAAGCAGAAAATAATTCAAATACCAAAAAAATATAAAAAGGAAAATTGAAATCTCTCATAATCACACAATTGAGCAGCAGCTCCTGTTAACGTTATTGGTATATTTTATTCTAGACTGCCTTCTGTGTGGTGTTTTTTTTTCTAAACAAAGTTGGAACCTTACTGTAGATGTACTTTAATATCCTGCTTTTTTCAGTTTCTGTTCCAACATATTTCCCCATGCTAATGCAAGCTCTCTGTAAACCGCATTTTTGATGCTATATAGTATCTTCAGATTTACTATGATTTACTAAACTCTTCTTTTATTTTGGACTTTTTAGGTAGCTCCCATGTTTTTACTATCATAAATAAGGCTTCAGTGGACACATTAGGCATAGAAGTTTTTCTATTTCTTCATCTGTAAAATGGGGATTGTAATATTTACTTTCCAGGGTGATAGAGATAAGAGAGCTAAAGGATATGAAGTCCGTAACTAGTGCTGTCTTAGACCATGGTAGCATCAGTCTGTAAAAGAAACGAATACTAGTTTGTGTGGTTTCAATGATGGGAAACAATCCAGTCCCTGCTGTGAGGGTAGCAATGGCCTTGTCCATCATTCCCAGGAACTCAGACAGGTGGACCTGACGGTCCTTTTATTCCTTGGGGGTTTCTTGTAGTCTTGGGACATCAGCTCAGTGCCTTGGAACCTTGACTCACCTGACTCTTAGAAAAATGCCCATGGCAAGATCATCATTCTGTATGACGACGATGAAAGGCTGGCCAGTCAGGCGGCCACCACCATGTGCGAGCGCGGATTTGAAAACCTCTTCATGCTTTCTGGAGGTGAGCAAGGCGATCCTCTGCTTGGGACTTCAAAGGCCAATCATCCTTCAGTCCCACCTGCATCACCTTTTCTCTCTTGGTGCTCAGAATTCAGTGTTCTGGAAAGAGAGAAAGCCATGCTGGCTGAAAGGAGTCAGGAGTTTTGTGAAACTTCCCTTAGCTTCATCAGCATGTTTTTAATTCCTAAAATAACAGTGTTGGTTCAGGGCTCTGTCAGAAAGCCCTAATGCTGAAGACTCCAATAAAAGGATTTCTTGTGGGATTCTCAGAATCCCATGTAACAACAGATGTTTTCTGGTGTAATTTGCTTAATGATGAAATTGTTGAGAAAGATTTCATGTCCTCGTGTTGGCCTCAATTTGATGACCAGAGATTAGAAGACAGGCAGGCTTCTTTCCAGGTTTTGGCTTGGCCTTGCCATATTAATGCAGCTTTTTCTGATGCTTTTCTAAACCTAGGTCTAAAAGTCTTAGCTCAGAAATTCCCAGAAGGACTGATTACCGGTTCCCTGCCAGCATCTTGCCAGCAGGCCCTTCCTCCTGGTTCTGCCCGGAAACGATCCAGCCCCAAAGTGCCACCCCTACCAGCTGAGAACAAATGGAGATTTACCCCAGAAGACTTAAAAAAGATAGAATATTATCTGGAAGAGGAGCAAGGGCCTACCGATCATCCTAGTAAGATCTTTTGACCTTTAAAGCTATTGTTTTCTGTGGAGCTTGAGGTTTGCAGCTTTGAGTATCACCTCATCATATGAAAACCTTCATTTCCTATATTTAGATTCTTAAAATATTGGGGAGGTATGTTACAGTTGCTGGGAAGGGGAGGCAGTAGAGGTGATCCCAGATAGTGACAAGAATTAAGCATTTAAGAGAGACTTTATCAAAATGTAGAGAGACTTTTTTGAGACAGAGTCTCACTCTGTCACCCAGGCTGGAGTGCAGTGGCATGATCTTGCCTCTCTGCAACTTCTGCCTCCCAGTTTGAAGCAGTTCTTCCACCTCAGCCTCCCAAGTAGCTGGGATTACAGGCACCCACTACCACGCCCGGCTAATTTTTTAATATTTTTAGTAAAGACAGGGTTTCATCATCTTGGCCAGGCTGGTCTCAAACTCCTGGCCACAAGTGATCCCCCCCGCCTCAGCTTTCCAAAGTGCTGGGACTGCAGGCATGAGCCACTGCGCCCAGGCAAAAATGTAGAGACTTCATCAAAAAGTATATCTCAAGTAAAGTTGAGAAGTTAAGCATCAGGCTTTCAGATTCCTTCTTGGAAAGTTTTCTATTCCTTTTGCTGCCTCTACTTCTCCACTCTGAGAGCCTCCATATGTCTTCCTACCTTTCTTTCATTTGTCTTCCTACCTTACGTTCATCATACTGCTTTCTCTTTTCTTTCCCCTAATCATTCCTCATCTGCATCCTCTCTATCAACAGAAGACTGAAGGACAGATGAGGTTTGTTGGGGTTAATGGAGAGGAAGGGAAAAAACCTATCTGGGTTTCCCTTCATTCCTGTCCCCTTCCCCACCTTCAGGCTGATCTCAAGGATGAGGAGTAGGTCATCACTGGCCTAAGTAGACACTGCATAGGACTTCATTAGCTTAAAAGTGGTCATAGGCTAGGACTTCATTAGCTTAAAACTGTACTTGGCAGATGGTCCCTGGAATCATTCTTGCAGCTCTGTTCCTTCCTTCTTGCTCCCTTCAGGTCGACTGAACCAAGCTAACTCCTCCAGAAGAGACTCCAAGGTGCCTGGTGCCCGAAGCGCTCAGAATCTGCCCGGTGGGGGCCCCACCAGCCATTCAAACCCCCGCTCCCTCAGCAGTGGCCACCTGCAAGGCAAGCCCTGGAAGTAAAGACTTTGTCTCACTTAGGCAAATAAATGTTTTCCCTCTTTTCAGAACCCCTGAGCATTTCCCAGGTTGGGTCATTTCCAGAAACTTCTGCACAGGAAAGACCATGATAGATGTATGGGATAGTCCCACTTCCCTCCCCCTGTTTCTGATTCCTCTCCCCTCGGCCACTTCAGGAAGGATTTTAACAGGTGGCCACAAAAACCAGAGTTGTGACAGGCTCTAGTGTCCTCCCTGTTGTTTACAGCATATTTACGTCTCGTGAAACTGTATGGGAAAAAAGGATCTACGTTTTTAGTTGTTTTTTAAATAAGGTCCAGCTTGCTGGATCTCTCTTCGTTGTTTTGTAAATACTTCAGTCACATCTGTCCATGTGCTCTTCTTGACCGCCTTTTCATTTACTGTTCTTGACTTCATGAAGGCTTCTCCAGGCAGTGTGGGTGCGAGAAGCTGTTCCCAGCGGTGCAGACGAGCCTTAGGTTTCAGCCGCCTGGAGGCCCCACACCGGCAGCTCACTCAGCAAGGAGCTCTCTGCCCAGCATATTGCAGGCCCTGTTTTGAGTTTGGAAACCAACGCCTGTGTGCGTGACTCAAATTTAAAATGAGGAGAGTAGCTGTACGCTCACAGAATGCTCCCCTCATCGGGTATTTTCCTGGAGCCAGAAAGGTGTGCACTTCCTGTTTTCATATCGGGAAGGAGCGCCTCTCACAAGAAAGCCCTGGCCACCGCACTGGCCTGTGCTGAGAGCCCCCTGAAGCCCACAAAAGTGGCCCTTACTTGTGGTCTGTATAGCAGTTATAATGCCCATGGCCCAGCTTCAATCTATCCACATTAGATGGATAGAAATTATGGCCACTTGAAAATACAGATTCGGCTGGACAACTGTGGACACACAAGGTGAAAAGGACTCCAAAGTCCTTTGTCAGGGCTGACAACCTCGTAAGCCCTTGCTTAGAAATACAGTATTAGTCTAATTGAGTAATTAGTGCAATTTCCTGCTTACTTTTCATTCTTGTGACTGAGCTGTGATTAGGAAGTTGTGATTATAGATTCTGGTTTTGGCCGGAATTTTGAATCAGCATTAATTGAATTGCTAAATGACTGTCATTCATTCCATTTAATTGGGGGAACAAAAGGCCTCAGGTAAGGATGGGGAACTCTGAAATCATATGGAAAGGAAAAGAGCCGTGTTAATTTTTATGGTCTGTGATCGTAGCTGTGATAACGGACTGAGGAATAAATTGTGCTCTTTGTCATGGCAACCAGCTTCTGAAAAGCCAACTGAAAATTGCCTGTCCTGCTGGTAACTGCTGCGGGGTAAGATTTGCCTTAACAGTACTATTTTCTCGCCACCAAAAAAAAAAGCACCACAGTATTTCTAGCGTGGGGGCTGTGTTTGTATGAGAAATAAACGTAATAAGTATCTCATAGAGACATATGGAAAAATAACTTTTAGATTCAGCCCAGTTCTGCTTTAGAGTGTGTTTATTCTTCTCTACTTGATTTCCAAAGTCCAACATTTTCCGATGCTTTAAAAATCAAACAAACCAGGGACATTGTTCAGATGTCAAGCCGTGCCCAATTTTCCACAAGATTCAAGAATCTTGTATAAAATTCAGCCAACGTACACATAGCTTTAATGAGGAGCCTGTCATGTTCCCCCATAAATTTATTGCCTGAGAACTTAGTTCAGCCTTTGCTAATGCCAAAATGCTCTGGCTTTGTATTTTCTTTACAGCATAGATAGAAAAATGCACATTTTTCCACACTCAGCTTTCCCCTAACATGGACAAGATTTTCAGCCATTTTTGCCACATATACATTTTTAAGGGAAAAATATTTCTCTCTAACAAAGCTCCGGTTATACCATTTTAAAGGTGACTTGTCAGGATTTGAGACTTCCCTGCTGGATTCTATTTTGAAAGTAAATGGTCGTCCCGCCTTGTTCCAATTCTGCATTCCCATTGTCAGATACCTTTCAAGTGTTAGAAACCACTGTATATATGTGGAAAGCCAGGTTAGTCAGACCTATTAGAATTGCTGTGCACTCACCTGAGAGATCTGGCAGGTTGAATGTTTATGTGTATTGCTCCATAGTGCTTTCTTTGCCCTGTTGGTAAGGATTTTAAATAGCCATGATCAAAAGCGCTGTTTTAATTCTGCGCTTTGCGTGTTAAATGTTACTATCATTCTTTATGTGCTCGAGGTATTGCTTTTAACGTTCTACTTTACCGGCTTCTTCATTAGATTAATTGACATGTATTATTTAAATGACCAGTGATGCTTTGTGCAATTATGAATGTTGAAGATTAAAGTACATAGTTACTAATTTGTCGTTTGCTATTAATATGCTGAAAACTGCCAACTTCTCTCTTCTTTTCTGTCAAGATGATTTGGGGGAGCCACAGGAGACTAGTGTGATTTTTACTGCATCTCCTAGAAAAGCATTTTTTAAAACAACAAATGAATCAGGAAATCAGTCCAGTTAGGGCAGGGGACCTCAGCTCTCCATTTAGTAAGCCTGGGCTTCTTTTCATGCTCATGTTGGGACCAAAGCCACCTTCAACAACTGGATCATGGCTTTCTGCCAGTGTCTCGGAGGTTGACTAGCTGCCCTTGTCTGGGACTTGTGAACCCTGAGATGAAAGGTGCTTTATCGATGTACAACTACAGCTCCACCTGAACAGCAGTCATAGCCCAATTGAAATAATACCTTCAGTGCTTTAAAGGGGTTTGTATTTAAGGAAGGGAGAAAGGAAGGAAAGAAGCAAGGAAATAGGAAGAAGAAAGGCAGAAAGCGAGGGAGAGAAGAGAAAGCTACATTACTTATTTGAAAACAAAAGGAACACCCTGGGCTATATCAGTCTCTTGAAAAGTATAGAATGATTTAAATGGCCTGCAAGTCATTTTATCTTACTTTTTTTTTTTTTCAACCTTTAGTAGTTAACCAGAACCAGTACAGTCATATTGGGCTTGGTATAAATCAGAAGGAAAAGAGAACAAATAACATTCATTAGTTGCTCAGGGATTTTTCCTGTGGTGCTATTTAAATTATACAAAAATTCTTAAGACTTTAGGCTACTCAACCAAGAAAACAGAACAAAACAAAAACCGTGTTTTCTCTAATTCCCTTGTGGAATGTAAGTGAAATCAGAGTCCTAGGCTAGGAAGAAATATGTAGGTAATTTTTCTTGTGTTGGTTTTGGTTTCTGTCATGTTGTTTATTGGCTATAGATTCTGTCTTTTATGTTGTCTGGCTTTTTTAGAGCAAGTAATTAGTTTCTGTCCACCTGGATTTCAATCCATGACCACCTTCTTGCCCTACTCTGAAGATAATCATTAAGAATCTTTCTTTCCCCACTTCCAAAATGTTCTTAGTTTCTTTCGTGTGTGTTTGTTTTCTTCCCAATTCTTTCCAAGATTTAACTCCCACGATGCTTTTTTCTCCCCAGGAAACACCAGAAACGTGTGGATTGTAATTCAACAGTTTAATTATGAAAGCATGTTGAGTACTTACATGCAGTTCATTAATTTATTCACTAACAAATGTTTTTTTATGCAAAAGCAATAAATAACATTGTGCCTCCAAAATGTTCAGAATACATTTGGGTAGGAATACTTTCCTAGACTTACAATAATTATCGAAGTTATTATTATGACATCTTTAAATGGATACACAGGTCAATTACAACATTAAAAATGTAATGGAAAATTGTCAGCCTTGAATTTGGGCAGAACAGGATTCAGTGCATGATTTTATGTGTTTTTGAAACTGTATCTGTCACATTACCATCGTCTGATGGCCTCCCTCTCTGTTGCTAAGCCTCTTTGTTCTGTGCAGCAGCAAATTCTTACCTGTGTAACGTCCGGAGGCACCTGGCAAAATGTGTGGCAGAGAGGCCACTTCTGAAATGCTGAGGGGCTACATCTTTTAAAGGATATCAATATGTTTTCCTATTAAAATTATTTTGACTATAAGCTCCCAGAGGGTGAAAATCACCAACCCTATGACAGTGGCCCTTATAAGTGTTCATGAATAAATGAATTGAACCTGTCAAGATTGAAGTCTGGTTGCGATGCCCATTGTGGTGACCACCCAGTGCTAGTCTGTCATTCTGGAGACCCAGAAAGCTTGTTATCTTCTGACTCCCTTGTGTATCCTGCTTTTTTAGGTGAGGCATCCACAACCCTGAGGTTTTTAGATCTCTCTCTAAGGAAGTACCCAGAGAGCTGTTGGGGGTGTTATTATTCTAGCTGTCTCTGTCAGGCTTAAAGTATCCTTCAGAATTCAGCATGCACAGGTTACACACCACCCCCAACTAAGAGTGGGTTATTTTTCTCTTTTGTTTCAAATCTTGAAGATTTCCAGAAAATAACAATAGTAGTTAATGTTTGTGGAGAGCTTACTTTGCTCCGAGATTCTTCATTATAGGTTTATATGTTCTGACTAATTTAATTTCCACAATGGTCTGATGAGGCAGGCACCCCCATTTTCAGATGAGGAGACTGAGGTTCGGGTAGAAATTAAGCAACTCAGGTTTGCCTTCAGTCTCTGAGCTAGGGGGTTGAAAAGCCGGAAGCCGGCTATGCGTGGTCACTCACGCCTGTAATCCCAGCACTTTGGGAGGCTGAGACAGACAGATCATGAGGTCAGGAGTTTGAGACCAGCCTGGCCAATATGGTGAAACCCCGTCTCTACTAAAAATACAAGTTAACTGGGTGTGGTGGTGTGCGCCTGTAGCCCCAGCTACTTAGGAGGCTGAGGCAGAAGAATCACTTGAACCTGGGAGGCAGAGGCTGCAGTGAGCCAAGATCATGGCACTGCACTCCAGCCTGGGGGACAGAGTGAGACTCTGTCTCAAAAACAAAAAAAAAGCCAGGAACCAGCCTGAGAACTGTGGCTCCAGAGGTTGTTTTTTTAGCCACTCCGCTCCGTGCTTCTTAATCTGGGTGGGCACAACCGTGTTCTCCCTTGGTGATGCCTCTAATTTACTGTGAAAATGTACCTTTCCCTCGGCTATTGGCTCCCTTTCCCTCCTAGTCACTGAGATTCTTTTGAAAACTTTCCTCCGCTTGCCTGCACAAAAGGCGATGGAAATTCAGAAACTGAAACATCTGCTCTGGGAAATATGTATTTGCACATTTCCACGGCCTGTGTCTGGTGTCCTACCTTGAAGACAGATACTCCAGGGTTTCCGAGGTTTTTTTGTCTGTTAATGGACACCTTGAGAAGTACCACTTAAGGAATGAGAGTTACGAACTTGTAATCATATTGTGGGGGAAAAAAGTAGGCTGTTTTCCTGATAGGTCGAGCCATTCATTCAATAAACCATATTATTACGATTTGTGTCTGATCTTTTCTTTCTTTTGTGGTGATGCTTCTGGTTTAGGCTCAAACATGAGTTGCATGAATTGGCGATGGCCATAGGCCTGAGTTCCTGCGGGAAACAGGCAAATCTCCTTGCCCACTCTTTGTCAGCAGAGCCCTTATTCTACTGCACTCTTCTAAAACTGTAGCTGATACCACTACTGTGGTTAGGCAGAAGACTTTTAATTTTCTCCTTTTAGTTTGGCAATAAACATTTGGCAATCCCAGTCTCTGAGGTTGTTGGATGATGCTCGGCATTTGAGTTGCCAAATGAATGCAGATCCTGAAAGCTTTGGGGAAGAATTCATTACCCTTTGATAGTTTTTTAGATTTGATGATGGACGCTCTGTGCTTTTCCAAGAGCTTCTCCTTGACTTGGCCAATTTAAATGTTATGGTTGGTCATATCAGCTTTGTCTGAGTAGCATCTGGGTCTCAGTGTGTTCACAGAATGATGTTGCTGTAGTCCTTAAAGCAAGAGCCCTTGTGCATCTTCAGATCTACCTCGTCCCCCTTGCAAAACAATTGCCAGGATGATGAATCGCCCTGCACCGGATGAAGGACCAATGAGGTCATATCTGGAGTGTATTCAATGACATTTCCGTTTCAACGTTAGGCCAAAGACAGAAAGCTAGCCATGCATATCTGAGTGTTAATTCAAGAGACGACCCTAAGGATTCTCGTGGACCACCAGTATTGGGCCCACAGGCCATTAGAGAACCATATGTCATGGTCTAAGTAAAAAGTAAAATGAGTTCATTTGAAAATAAAGATTTTGAAAGGCCCTGGTGAATAGGTATTAACATAATCCCCAAGATTGCTACAAGAACTGAGTGTGAGCAGGAAAGGCTTTTGGGAATTTTCATCAAACTACAACAGGGTGTAGGATGGGGGGCCTGAGAATCTCTTCCTTTGGTAGAAACACTGCTGCTCCCAGCTGTATCTTGGAGTGTAAATTTTTCTAAAGATAAGACAAACTGGAGTGTTCTAGGCAAGATGATGAAATACGATACCAGAACAGAAAAGAGTTTAGACAAATTTTAAAAAAGAATCTGAGCAAAAACTAAGGTGACTGTTTAGCTGTTGGATGTTGATAATAAACTGATGTTAGATAACTTTACACACAGGTTATCCACTGTGTTTGAAATAGCTCCTTTCCTTGCCTGCCCATTATAAAAGCTGATTATAAAAGCTCATTGTGAGAAATGCTGAGACATATAAAAAGGAAAGATACCACAACTTCCCAGGTTAGTTATAATTATTATTGGGGGATATATCCTTGCATTCTTCCAGGAAAAGAGAGGGAGAGAGAGAGAGAGAGAGAGAGAGAGAGAGAGAGTGTGTGTGTGTGTGTGTGTGTATGTGTGTCTTTTAAACAAAATGGGATTTGGACTCAATATTTTGTATTCAGCTTCTTTTTTAAAACAACTATATTGTACAAATCACATACCATTAAATTCACCCATTTTAAGTGTACAATTCAATGATTTTGAGAAAGTTTGCAGAATTACGCAGCCATCATCACAATCCAGTTTTAGAACACTTCCATCCAGTTTCTTTCACTTAGTATATTGCAAACATTTTTCCATGTCAACACAGCCCTAAATGGTTTTGTGTTGTTCCAGTGTGTGGATGTGGCGGGTCAGCATCAAGACAGGTAATTATCTAGGTTCTTTTTATTGTTTACTTTTCCAGCCTTGTACATACATATTTTTGAACCCATCCAAATATTTTTATCAAATAAATTCTTCCAAGTGGGTTTTCTGGGTCAAAGATACAATACATTTACAATTTTGATTTATGTTGCCAAATGTGCCCCCCAGGAGGGTGGTGCCCATTTCTGCTCCACCAGCACTGTATGTTAAATGCTGGAGTCATCAGTCTTTTTATTCTTTGCCAATCTAATGAGAGAAAAATATCCTCATTTCTCCCTAATGAACAAGAAATCACTTAGAGGA